GCGCCGCGTGGGTCCGGGCGGGCGCAGGGCACTTACGGAGCCCTGGGTCAGGCGTTCTGCTGCCTGCCTGCCCTACCGGCCGCACCCCTAGGCCACATCTCGGAGCTGGCCGCCCGCGTATAGAGTGGAGCTGCTCTGACTCGAGCAGGCAGCATTCATCTTAGGGTCTTCTGAGTTTCAAGTGCTGTGGACACCGCGCGGACAGCGGAGCCTCCGCCCCGACGGAGTTTACTGTGGGTTGGGGGTCCAGAAGTAAACAGGATCTTCACCGATTACTCGGGTAACGTCTGTACGGCCGAGGGAGGGGAGCAGTCTCGAAGGAAGCACCGTTTGGAAATCGGGCACATTTTATTTTCCGAAAGCCATTCTTCCATGTAAATGCGGTTTCGTGGTACAGGGATTCTCCTTCCACAGGTTTTTTGTTTGCGTGATTGTTTGCAGTGCTGGGAATTGTGCCCAGAGCCTTCCGCGTACTAAACAAGTGCTCCATTAAACTACATCCCTAGTCCCCCAGTGTAGTTTGTAGTCCCAGAGTTTCTGTGAAGTTGTGACTTTTAGAAATTCACCGAAACATTTTTAAGTGTGGGGTAGGGGTGTGGTGGAGCGCTTGTCTAGAGTGCATGAGACCCTGGGTTTAATCACCAGCACTGTCAAGAAAAAGCAGCTGGGCGTGGTGGTGCAGATCTGTAATCCCAGCATTCTAGGAGGCTGAGACAGGAGGATCTCCCAAGTTGAGCCCAGCCTGAGCGACTTAGACCCTGTCTCAGAATAATAAAAAGGGCTGGGAATGTAACAGCACAGTAGGGGGGCATAAACCCATTACTACTTCAGGAATCTATATTAGAAAATATAGTCCTATCCCCCCCCCCGTGAAATTATACTATTTAAAAGGTTTTTTTGGTTTTTGTTTTGTTTTTTTCTCCAGGATCCTAATGATGCAGCACAACAGGAAGCAAAGCACAGGTATGGACTGGGAATCTGAACCTTTTGAAGGGCAGTTTCATCAATTAGATTTTTAATTTTTTTTCCTCTTTAAGAATTTTAACAGATGTGCAAATCTTAAGGGGTTTTTTGGCATAGTGATCTTCCCCTGAGTTATCAGAGTATTTTCGTTTTTTAATTAAATAAATGCGTGGAGCTCCACTTAGCTCCTTGAATTGCAGTTACTGGTTAATGTTTCTCTCTGTGTGATTGCCTTAAAATAAGCAAAATAATGGAACTACTGTAGGGCTTTTGTGAGAGTTACACGGGTGCGGTACTCACAGTAAGTGTTCCACGGATAGTAACATACTTTTCTTGTTATATACATGGCAGAGCACCCCACACCCAGTGGCAGGTTTACTGAATGAGTATCTAATTATTATGTCTTTTAAATTTGTGGTTAAAAAAATAACAAAATTTACTGTCACAACTGTGTTTTAAGTGTGCTGTTCAGTAGTGTTCACTCGGTTCATGTCATTGTTTGCCAGCTCTTAAGTTTTATTTTGCAAAACTGAAGCTACATCTGTTGACCAGCTGCCCATCTCTCCCTCCCCTCATGCTGTCCTTTAAGTCCATTCATTCCATTGAGTACCTGCTTTGTGTCAGGCATTGTTCTGGGTCTACAGAAATATGCTAGGCAGAGCAGGTTCGGGAGGGTGATGTGAGCACCTGGAGCACAGCTACAAAGACAGTAAAACTACCTACCTTTCATTGATTCTACAAGGTGCATTTTCTTAATTTAAAACCAGAAATTGGGATGCATTTATAATCAATTGTTCGTATCCTGGATCCTTCCAGAGAAGGCTTGCTTTAGCCCCTGCCATCTCTTGAGCAGATTTTGAATCTGAAATCTTTTAAAATTAAGTTCTTTGCTTGAGATTTTCCTCTGCCTCCTCCCAGGTAGTGTGATTCAGACAGCAATGCTGCAAAACTAAATTAGCTGCAAGTTCAAATTCTCAGAGAAACTTTTTGTCTTTTTTCTTCCTCCAGATGCATGCAAGCCTCCCAGCTGTTCCTTTCTTGTTTTTTGTTTACCTTGTGCTGTTTCTCTTTTTGATATATATCCCAGCTTTGACTGGGGTCTCTTAATCCCCAGTCTTTGGGTTATTTTCAACCTCAGACATAAAACTATGGGGCATCTTAGATTTGTTCAATACAGCAGCATTTCATTTGTTCGTGGCTGAGCTGAAGTACTCAGATTCTGTAAGGAAATGGACTTTAGTTCCATGTTTTAATTCCATGAGCCCTAATGGCTCCTAAGCTGGGATGGATCTTGGGCACAACCCACTCCAGCACTCCCTCTAATGCAATCCAAGCATCTCCACTATTGTTTGTTTCGTATTACTAAGTTATTACCTAACAGGCTTCATTTGAGAAAGGAAAAAAAATCTACTTTTAAAAAGCTTGAAAACACTACCCTATGAACGTATACTAGTTTCCCACTTGGATAAACAGGGTAGTTATCCAGTTAGAATGTAATTCCCCTTCCACATCCAACAAGTAGAACTGAGAATCTTTAAACATTGGATCTGGTTCTACCAGGGTGACTATCATCTTTGTCTCTAACATTAGCCTCCCCGGACTCAGGTTCACCGCTGAGGAAATTACACGATGAATTCCTTGGTCCTTCTAATTGCCTGAAATCCCACTACAAATGTCTGGGACATAACACACTAGGTACTTAATTAAAGTTGGTAGTGGCAGTTGAACTGAATCTCTAACATAATGACAAAAACACAAGGTTTCCTGCCACAGCGTCTGGTAGGTTTTCACCCGTGTCTTATGAAGCTGGCTCTTTTAACAGCAGAAGCACCTGATGCAGCACAGTCTGTGTACCACAGGCGTCTCTTAAGAAACATCTGAATGAGTTACATTTTTGTGTGTGTGTAGTAGGCATGCTGACAGCTTAGATCTAATTTTGCTTCGCCTATGTTTTTGTTGTAGAGATGCAGAAATGAGAAACAATGTCTTAGCCCAAGTTCTGGATCAATCAGCCCGGGCCAGGTGTAAGCATCTTCAAATTCCTCTAAGTTATTTCCATAAAACTGGCTTGAGTTGGTTGAATGGGAAAAATGTAGTTATTGCCATCTGTAGATTAAATATTTGTTTAACCTAACAGCACTTGAGATATACATTATCTGTAAGAAATTTGGAGTTTATAAACCTGGAGAAGTATGTGTTTAAATCATTAAAATTGCCAGCTTAATTCTCTTCTTACCAAAATATTCTCCTAGGATAAAATTTATAGGGAACCACTCTTAAAGGAGAGTCACTGTGTGCTGGTACTTGACATGTAGATGGGGACTTGGGGATTGATTATATTCTTGAGTTTAGTGTTCAGAGTTTTCCATTTTAAAAAGCAAAAAGCGTAGAAGAAAAATATTAAAATGAGCCAGTCAGCATGAACTAGTAACTTGAAGCCCATTTGAGAAGATGCACTGTGGATAAAGTATTTTTAGAAAGCAATCATGTATTTTAGGAAACAGGGAAGTATGGGGTTTAAAACCTGAGGACCCAAGTTTAATTGGCCACTTCTGTGTGACCACCTGACACTGAGATGGCTGAATTTTCGTTTTCTGTTCGTAAGAAGGGTGGTAGTACCATCCGCCCTACCTGTTACGCTGGTTGAGAGGTGCAAACAAACAAGCTTGGGGGGCCAGGGATTTAGCTCAGTGGTTCTGCCATCTGCTTCGCAATGGCAAGGTCCCGAGTTCGAAAAGAAAAAAAAAAAAAAAAAAACCTCAAGGGCAAGGTCCCGAGTTCGAAAAGAAAAAAAAAAAAAAAAACACCAAGCTTGAGAAGTGCTTTGAAAATGGCAGTGTAAGCACATTTAGTTTTGTTATCTTTTTGCACATGTATTTTTTTCTTTCTTTTTAGTAAGTAACTTAGCACTCGTAAAGCCTGAAAAAACAAAAGCAGTAGAGAATTACCTTATACAGATGGCAAAGTATGGACAGCTAAGTGGGAAGGTAAGCTTGGACTGCCCTGAAGGAACTTTATTGTTACCTACTTTTTACCAGAACATGGCTTCACCTGGTCAAATTCATGTCTGATTACAGAATGGTTGACAGGAGAAAAAGTTACAATGTACCATAAATTCTAAAAGATAATTGCCTTTCCTAAAATACTGTTCTGTCCTGGCAATGCTGTGAGACCTTGTTAGTGTCTCTCTGACCCCATGACTGCAGTATTAGGGTTGGATAGCTTAAATTTGTTTGTGCACTGGAAACAAAGATTTTATCAGTAGTACCAATTAAAATTCTACCAGTGTAGTAGAAATTAGGCTCGCAAATGAGGCGAATCCTTTTGTTACTATGTGTGTAATGCTGTTAGGGGTGTAGTATTCTCACAAGCTCACCCTTTAACATCACACAGGCCCCATCTGTCCTGCAGAAACCCTGCTTCCTACTGAGTCCCTCACACTAAAAACCCTTGCACTGGGAGAGACAACCATTTGACCTTTTGAGGGTGACATCTCTACTGAGGTAGTGTTTAAGCATCTCACAGGCAGAGGTGGTATCTACCCATATCATCTAATATAGTGACAGCTGTGGTTTTCAATGTCTGCTAGTGGTGGTAGAGGTTAGAAGCGATGTAATAGATATTCCCCCCTCCTCAAATGAGAAAGGGCAATGTCAGTTTTATTTGGAACTTACACCAGTAGTTCGAACCTCCTCCCCTACCTCTTTCCCACACCCTAGAAAGACTTAGAAAATGATTCATTTTGCCAAGACATACTGTTTGCTTAAAAACTTTGTTCTTTCTGGTATTCTAGGTCTCAGAACAAGGTTTAATAGAAATCCTTGAAAAAGTAAGCCAACAAACAGAAAAGAAAACAACAGTGAAAGTAAGTTTCCCCAAATGCCTGTGGCAGAAGAAAAGGTTGCTGTTTTGAATGTTAAGTGTTGACTGTATATTTACGGCTGTGTATCAGGACAGCTTCCAGCCCAGTTTCATGCTGTCACATGAAGTTTGGGGAGAAAGGCTGAATGCATTGCGGGGTGTAATAAAGTTTTTGCCCTCCAACTATTCCATTCTGCTCACCAAGTTGTTCTAAAAACATAGTCTTCATTGAATAGGTAGAGTCTGAGTTTGCTGTGTTAAACATGTGGTGACCCTCATTTCATCTCCCCCTAGTTCAACAGAAGAAAAGTAATGGACTCTGACGAAGATGATGATTACTGAACTAAAAATGTTTAGGGACTGACTTAATGGAACAGTTCTAGGACAGAAATTAAAATCTGTTTAAATGTTTACTTTGTTTTATCTATATGTCTTTAAAAAATAAACTTGTTATGCAAAATAAAGTTTGTTTTGGTGTCATCGCCAAGTGACCAAAAGATTTGCATTTAAAATTGTTTTCCCTTTCTACCAATAACTTTTAAACACGTGTAGCAGTCTGAATTTGTATGTCCTTTGCAGGTGTGACATTTTCTTAGGTAACAGGAAACATCATAAAGAAAAACAGAAGCTTTCATATTTAATAGAAGAAAATTCCTAGCTTTGGTTTCTCCCATAACCTGTTTTTGAAAGGCACTGAGATTAAGTCATCTAGTAAGTTATCTCTCCCATCCTAAATATAACTAGTGTGATACTTCCATTGATAAAATAATGAGGGGAAACTGGTAGTAACATTCAGTGGTAAACACATTTGTGAGAGAAATGTCTTCTAATGATTACAATCCAGCTAATGACAGTTCCGCAGTTACACATTCTGGTAGAAAAGTTCTGGGTTCTTCAGTGATGGAAGTGCAGGGGACTTAAGGCAAAAGTTGTCTCATTGGGCTTTCCTTCCACCAGGTTATGAAAAACTCTGCTCACACATTTAAATCATAAACAGCTACCAACTAAGCTGTTTGTTGTTATAAGCTTTTAAATGTTTAGTCCTATGAAACTCAGCTCAGGAGTAATTCCATAACAATAAGATGAATAGGCTCAGTAGCAGAGAAGTGATGGGCATGTGGTTTGTAATTCCAGTCTCTGCTTTGGTCAGCTCAGCTCACATTTGTTTAAAACTCCTGAGTTTTTACTGTATTTCAAATCTGTCAGCATGGTCAGTGAAGGAAGTCAGTGGAGGGACTGGGAGTGCCATGTAGCCCAGTGCAGACAGAGCACTTGCTTCACGTGTGGGAGGCTCTGGGTTCCACCCAGCGCCAGTGTCAACATTCGCGAATAAACCAATGAATGATTATAACCATTAAGAACAGCAGTTTCTTTTTTAAGAAATAAGACTCAAAAGAACAAAATTTGTTCAGGGATTTTGATAAAAAAAAATCCCAATTACAGGTAAATTTTGCTTTTGGCTTTATTTACATAAAAATGCTAGGACATTAGGGCCAGGGATTTAGCTCAGTTAGTTCTTCACCTGCCTTGCAAGCACAAGGTCCAGACGTTCAATCATCAGTACCAAAAAATAATTTTTTAAAAATGCTAGGCCATTAGACAATTCTCAGCAGGTTTTCTTGCATGGTTTCTCTTGGCAACTTAGCAAGATCCTGCCTCAAAAGTTTTTAGAAAGGGCTGGGGATATAGCTTAGTTGTAGAAAGCTTGCCTAGCATGTGTGAGGACCCTAAGCTCAAACAACATATGGCAAAAAGGAAAAACCAAAAAGTATTCTGATGCCAGCTACTAACATGTTTCAGAATTAGACTTCTTTCAAAGGTACTTGAGAATGAAAAGGACAGAGGATTCTGAAGGCAACAAAAGGTAGGGAATCTCCAGGGATGGTAATTCTACAAAGTTCCTAATGCAGTGGCTGCCAATACTTTGAATTCAAACCTGTTTTTATACAAAAATAGAAATTTGAGCATTATCAATTTTTGAACTATCAAATCTAGTTTTTCAAGTAGGGAAAGCAACTGAAAAAACAAGAAGTTTAAAAATAATCAAAACAGTCCCTTGAGATGCCTCTCACTACTGTAAGCAGAGTAGCTCAAGAGGAAGCGTTCCCCAAAGATGGGCAGTCCTGTTCGGGACCCTTGTGTATCTAGACGAGGGGCACTCAAGCTTGAAAAGAGCCAGTTCAGTGCCGCTGCCTAGCAGGCCTTGACCTTTGCTGAGATCTCAAGAAAATGAGTCCTTTAATTTTCAGACCCTGTTTCCTCGTGAGGAGTTCTCTCCAGTGCGATGGGCACACATTGACAGTATTTTCAAAATTATATTGAGCCAACCAAACAATCAGGTAATATCAGATGTCTGTATTTCCACCCTCAGAATATCCTGAAAAAGTGTATAGGACGTAGTTCCTTAGTTAAGATGATACAGAACTACAACAACTTAAGTCAGTAAGTTCATTTTGTTTAAAAGCAGGAAAACAGCTCAGTGTGGTGGTGCACACCTGTAACCCCATCACTCTGGAAGGCTGAGGCAGGAGGATTGAAAGTTCAAGCCCAGCCTGGCAACTTAGTGACTTAACAGGACCTTGTGTTGAAGTATTTAAAACAGGCTGGGGATGTAGCTCAGTATGAAGGCCCTGGATTCAATCCCCAGTACTGCAAATTAATAAAACGAGAAAAAGAAATTAGAACAAAGAAAAAGAAATAAAGCAACAGTGCTTACTTTGTATTAAGAAGCTGTATTACAGTTACCCTTATAGTTTTAAAAGAAAGTAAACCCCTCAAATTATTTTGTGCCCTCAGCACTATAAAGCCAATGGCAAGATTTACCCATAATTGGGATTTTTTTCAAAATCCATGAACAAAACTTTATAACAATCTTGTTTCTTTAAAAGATCTTCACACATCATCCCCATCCACCTACTAGGGACCGTTTTTTCACACACAGCAGTTCACAGCAGACAGAAGCCGTTCTCCATGAGAAAACATTAAAGCATACCATGACACACTCAAGAATCATAAAGTTTACTGTGTCTTTTCCATCGTTTGGCACATACCCAAGGCACATTAGAAAATTAGAAATCATAAATTATTTTGTAGAAAAATAACGAATCCCTCCCTTCTATACGTACACAAGTATTTCCAAGAACGTGCACAAAACCATTTCCCTATTACAAAGTTATTTGAAAATGTACCAAGGATTGTAGCTCTAGGCCAGTAACATAAAAAAATAACAGTATAATCTATAGAAATTTATAAAACGTAATACACGGCAAAAAATTCTAACTTAAATATTGACCTGGTTTGTGCTGTAAGTTTTGAATTTGAATCAAAAGACTAAGGAAAGATGTGCCAAACCTACTCTCTAGTAACCATCCAGTCATCAGGCATGACCTTTAAGAGGTTCTTTTTTAATTTTATTTTATTGTTTTGGTGGTGCAGGGGATCAAACCCAGGGCCTTACTTGTCCTAGGCAAGTACTCTGCTGCTGACCACTGTCCTCTGCCCTTGAGGGAGGAGGTGCTTACCGGAAAGGTACATTTCTGGGAACACTGCTCTAGGTGCATACATGCAGTGGCCACATGTCTGTCGGAAGAAAAACTATACCCAGCTTTCTCCATACGCACAGCGTAGGGCAGCTCTTCCATGTACTCACTAAGATGAACATCAGAATGGCACTTAGGCATCTTTTTGTTCAAGTGCTACTTTGCAAAGGAACATTTTCTGGGTTCCACTTGTCTTCGTTTCAATGTGACATTTTCTGCCTGGCCTCCATAGTACCATGAAACCTAAGTTGCTTCTCTTCAACTTATCCCAGATGAAAGGATTCTCTTGGCCTATGGTTTGCTAATTTATCACAGAGATGAGCACCTCGCAGAAGATCAGAATCTGACAGTGAACCCTCTGCCTGTAGCCAGGAAATTCTAATACTTAGAAACACACACCTCAGATGAAGGAGCTGGACACTTACCAAATTTCTGTCCATTCCTTTTCAAGTGTATTCATTAGCTTTGAAGAAGAGATGGTGAAAAGTTTTTGTTGCATTCACTTTTAGCCACAGAAAAGCTTCTGGGAACCTTCTGAAGACAGAGTCACTAAACCAGTTATTTAAAGTATACTTAGGTGCAAGCTGTATTCATGCTGAGTGTCACCTGGCATGCTCACCTGCTGGCAGCAAACTTAACCCCATTACTGTTGAGGCTGGGAGATAGTAGCCTCCTGGAAGGGGGTTAGGCTGCCAGCAGTCTCTGGGTCCTTGGCCATGAGCACGTTGCCAACCGTGTGCCTGCGGAGCATTTGCCGGTTCCCAGGGGCCAACTGCTGCCCTCTGGGCCTCTCCTTGGGCAGGTCATTGCTTCCCTCATCAGCTGTCCGCAGTCTGCTCTGCTCTGGCAGGTGACTGGTTCTGTCTGCCTCTTTGCCTCTCTGGCTGAAGAGAAGGTACAATTCAGTTTGTCTGCACAATGCTGTAAACACCACCATGTCCACAGCAGCCACCTTCGAGGCTATTCTACAGGCCAATTCCAGCATCCATGTGCTGTGGTGTGACGGGTGTATTACACGTGTCACACACACAGTGCCTTGTTTTCATAGCTCTTCAGAAACCAAACCAAAACATGATTTCTATGAAAGTGACTAATTTTGATATCATATTTAACGTCTGATGGCTTTGGTTGGAGACCTATTCCTTAGCAAGAAACCCTACTAATGAAGAAAACTACCAAGACAAAAATGTGCTTACCAGGAATTACTTTTGAAAAAGGCAAGCTTTTAAAAATATGCTTATAAGCCAGGGTTTAATAACTCACCTCATGCAAACAACCTTGTGTAAAATTAGGGACACTTCTACCTCTTGCTATAATCTCCCTTGAAGTCCTTCCCCTGAAACCCAAAATAAACGAAATATTAACCTCAAATAAGTATTTGGGATTTGGGTTGAAACACTGGTTGGTCACAAGGTGGCAGCACTGGGTGACGCTCATACGGTAGATTAAAAGCTGCACAATGCAGCTTCCGTTTCAAGTAAACTGCATGGTCAAAAGCACAAAACCAACTTGAATTTATACTCACTTAAATGGGCCAACTGAGTGAACAAAGTAAAACTGTCTTGTAAAAGGCTCATCTGGTAGATCATACATTTTTGAGTTCCCTGTAAATGAAAGGATAAATATTTGAAATCTTAAAATGGATTAAAGATTGTTTTAAAATTGAAGCCTAGAAACAAACTTCCCATTTTCTTTAGTTTAACAAATACAGAAAATTAAGCATTAAATTTGCTTAAAGGAACAGCAGATACCTCTTATGTGACTCCCTGAAAGACAAAACAATAAATCCTTAATACTCAGCCATTTATGGTATGGCAGCCTCAGGGTCATCCAGATAGGTGAGTGGGTTATGGACATTACTGCACTGCAGTTACGCACTGCATAAGGTGATTTTAAAAGAGTAGAACAAGGACCTTTTTTAATTTTCAGAAAAGAAAATACTGGGACTGGGATTTAACTCAGTGATTCTGCCACCTGCCTCGCAAGTGCAAGGTCTTGAGTTTGATCCCCAGTGCCAAAAAAAGAAAAAAGACTTAAGTCCCTCAGCTATTTGGCTACTGCTGTTCTAATTACCATCAACCTGACTGCACCTGCCCAACAGCAGAGTGAGCACTTGCCTGGCTTATGACATGGCCCTGGGTTCAATCCCCAGCACTACCAAAAACAAACTGAAAAATCAGAATGTCACATACATTTCTGTGGTTCCTGTATCCCTCCCAGATGTAACTACTATTACATTTCACATTCACAAAACCAGTAGCTACTCAATAATTTCCAAATAAACCCAAGTGAAGAACTGAAGACTGTACATGCTTACACTTTTTCCTGATCTTGACAGTCACATACTCCTTGTGGTCTGTTTCAGCAGCATCATCTAATGAGGCAACACAACTTGGTACCACTTCAAGCAACTCCATTATTTTTGAATTCTACAATTTAAAAGGGAAAATACAACACAAATTTTTGTATTTTCTTAGCAAATAATTACTTGTTTGTGTCAGTACTAGTGTGGCTGGACCAAAACAAAAGCTCAGAAGTAATTACAAACAAAATTGTGTGGCCATAAAGCCCTCTGGTAGAAACATCCTTGTATTTACAGCCTGGTGATGCCCTCTCGGGGCTGTGGATGTAATTGCTCCATGTAGTTGGGATGGCAATGGTAGGACCGCCAAAACTAAGTACTCAATAAAACAGTCATCATTTGACAAAGTCTTCAGACTAAAATATTTCAATTCTGTTGAAAGGTCACTGAAAATTAAAAATCAGTAGGCCTATGATTAAGCTGGATTTATGGTGACCTCAACATCCCACGTGGGTCATTTAATACCCTTACTAGCTGTCCATTCTGAATAGAAAATTAGATAAAGGTTCACCATGAAGACAAGAAAAGAGCTACTTCTCCCAAAAGACAAGGATGTCTCACCTTGTCCACAACAAACATCCACTGCACTAGAGAGAGTGAAACTACAATCACGCCTCTCCTCCCAGAACTTGAGGAGTTTGAAATCCACAAATGCTTCGAGCTACAGGGACCGGCAGAACCAGAGTGGAGTCGTAACTCCCTACTCCCCTCGAGCACCATGTGTGAGGTGAGGGTGCCACACAAGGGGGCACCTACGCCCAGGCCTTGGAATGTCAGTCCTGAAAGGATGGTTCCTGGCTCCCTGAGTGACAGGAGAAAGTGTCGGCTACACCAGCAGGGCCCTGCACTAACGGGCTCTTGAGCGGAGCTCCAAAGGTCGCTGTGGCTGTGGCTGTGGCTGTGGGGAATCTTGTTCCCCAGCTGTCTGGCTCTCCCTGCTCACCTGTTCTGCACAGTCGATAGCTGTGCGCTGCTGCTTGTTCAGGATGTGCACCGATGCCCCGTGAAGCAAAAGCAGCTCCACTACGAAGACGTGCTTTTCTGTCACGGCCTCATGCAGGGCTGTGTTTCCCTTATTGTTAGAAGCATTAATGGAGGCCCCGTGCTAGAAAGAGAAACCACACACAAAAGGGACGTGGAAAAATGCTAATCAGAATCTAGGTGGTGGGTATATGGATATTTACGATGAAATTCTCTCAACATTTCCATTATCTCTGAAATTTCTCTGAAAATCTTGGTGAAAGTAACACTGAGAAAACAGATCAATGTGACAAGGATGTTTACTGCAGCATTTATCATTATAGCAGAAAAACCAGAAATCACTTAAATGTACAGATCAGTAACAGTTCAGAAAAAGTGGCAATGCCTCTAATCCCAGATACGGGGAGGCTGAAGCAGGAGAATCATATGGTCAAGTGTAGTCCAGACAACTTAGCAATACCATGTCTCAGAAAAATTTAAAAAGGGTATGGGATATGGCTCAGTGATAGAATGCCCCAGATTCAATCCCCAGTATCGCCAAAACCTTTTTATTTTTGGTACCGGGGATCGAACTCAGGACCTTTAACTTGCAAGGCAAGGCAGTGGAACCACTGAGCTAAATCCCCGGCCCCCAGAAACTTTTTAAGAGCCACTATGGTACATCCAGACTTACTTGACCATTAAAAATCAAGACTGGGGTCTGGGAATTTAGCTCAGTGGTAGTAGCGCCTGGCAAGCACAAGATCCTGAGTTCAATCCCCGGTACCAAACAAAACCAAACAAAAAAATCAAGACTTTAATAAACAGTTTTCTACACGAAAATGGAAAAGAAAGCATTTAGTGATCTAAACCACACACATTTTTTTGTTTTTTGGGTTTTTGTTTTTTTTTTTTTGTTTTTTTTTTTGAGACAGGGTCACACTATGTAGTTCAAGCTGGCCTTGAAACACACACATTTTTTAAAATCCACCAAAATGAGTTCCTCTGAGCAGGAAAGTTATGGACAAGCCAGGTTTTCCTGCTGCTCTAGACGCTGCTCTGCCTCAGCAGCATGTAACCACCTGCAAGAGGGGAGAGGAATGCAGAGAACCAAGGCCACCTGACTCACGCCGCGTTAGCACCTCAGCTCAGCAGTGGGAAGTCAGGCCAGGCCCAGACCTTCAGAAAAACAGCTGAAGTCCGCAGTGCTGCGGTCCTGACACAGCACGGACGCGGAGGCCTTGTCCGCCCACCCAGCAGAATGGCAACTGAGGAGGGGCCCTGACCTGCAACAGCAGCGCTGCGACCTCGTGATGGCCCCCAGAGCAGGCGTATATGAGAGGTGTGTTCCCACGTACGTCCTTTTTATTGGGTTTTGTGTTAGAACCCAGCAGGTACTTCACCACCTAGGCCGAGAAGAGAAATTTTCAACCTTAATCAAAATTTACAAGAAGAAATCCCCTAACTTGGAATTCTGACTCTTCTCTAAGCTTATGGAGGCTTTTCGGACACGGCTGACTCTCCGGAGGAAGGACAACCACGGAAGCGGGAGGGACATTTGCTCCGAGGGTCTCTGTGCCAGGCAGCCTGCTAGGCACTAGTGTTTCCACCTGATCTTTAGCTCTTCCCTGTGGACTGGGGTTACAACTCCAATCGGACAGATTACGGAGCCCGTGCTGGAAGCACTCTATGAGGAATTCAGGGGAGAGGTGGACCATGTCTTTAAAAAGCTTACAGTGGAACTGAGAAAGGAAAATGAAAAAATACACTCAGATAATGTTCCCCAAAACCACAGGATTAATCCTTCCCAAATTCTCTCTTTACCCACCCCGAGAAGGCCACGCCTTTATGAAGTCCTGAACTGCTTGGCTCAGGTGAGGTAAACCAACACCTGCGCACAGGAGTCAGCTCAGAATGACGCTGCTGGGTCCCCCACATGTAAATGGCAATGGAGCGGGGCTGGCTGTGCCCAAGGGAGGACCAGCATCCTGCGCTCTGCTACAGAGTGGTCCACAGGCAGAAGAAAGGAACCTTCCCGCGACCCTGAGCCCTGGGCCTCTGTGCAATTCCACCCAGTGAGTTCAGTCAAAATCAGGCACCTGCTATGCCACCTAAGAGACAGAGCCCATACCTGGAAGTGGCCCTTCTGGCAGGCCAGGTGGAGGGGCATGGCTTGGTTTGTGTTCCTGGCACTCGGGTTGGCACCGTGCTTCAATAGGAGGGGGACGAGATCCTCACGACCATGCAGAGCAGCGATGTGCAATGGGGAGGAGCCGTCCTGGTTGGTCACGTTCACCCCCAGCCCACTGGCAGGAATCTTTGCCAGCTTCTGGTGCACGCGAAGATAAAAGAGAAATGCTCCTGACGTTCAAGAAATCAGGCCGAAGAAACAGAAACCATCTATCTGCCCCCTGTCCCCACTTCTATGCAAAATCTGGGATGACAGTGGGATCCAGAATCACATAGCCCTAGGTGAATCCCTGTTATGACATTTAACGCAATTGCAATAAAAAGCTCTTGCTCTTAAGTTTTCTAGGCTATATCTGACTTTTCTCATGTAAATGAGCAAAAAAGTTTTTTTTTTTTTTTTTTTTTTTTTTTTTTTTTTTTTTTTTTTTTTGCACCAGGGATCAAACTTGGGTCCTTGTGCTTGTGAGGCAGGTGGCAGAACCACGGAGCTAAATTCCCAGTCCTCAACTTCTATTTTTAATAAAGCAAGCCTTCTAAAAGGATGCCCTATTACAACAGGCAAATCAACAAGGAAAGTCTGGTGGGATGGGGCAACTGGCTGGCCACACAGGACACATCAGACCTTTCTCGTGCCAAACACACAAATCAAAAGCCACCACAGACAGATAGAAGTTACAACTGGAAAGCTTGCTTTATTTATTTAAACAGAGTATTACAACGTAGTTTAGACTGGTCTTGAATTCATTATGTAGCCTAGGTTGGCCTCAAACTCATGGTGATCCTCCTGCCTCAGCTTCCTGAGTGCTGAGATAAGAGGCAAGTGCCACCATGCCAAGCTATACAACTATAAAGCCTCTTAACCAGGTGTGGGTGCACATCTGTAATCCCAGCACTCGGGAGGCTGAGGCAGAAGAATCACAAATTCAAGGCCAGCCTAAGATACACAACAAATTCAAGTCTAATCTAGACTACATATTGAGACCTTATGTTAAAAAAAAGAAAAAAAAAAAAAAGAAAGAAAGAAAAAGATCTTTCCTGGGGTAAAGATTCCTTAGAGAAGATGCAAAAACTAAAAGTTCAAGGGCCGGGGATTTGGCTCAATGGTTCCGCTGCCTGCTTTGCAAGTGCAAGGGCCTGAGTTTGATCCTCTGTACCAAAAAAAAAAAAAAAATTCATAATCTGGACTTGATACAAACTTTAAATGTTTGCTCTCTGAAAAACATGGTAAGATGATGAGAGCTGCACAATGGGAAAAAATGTTTGCAAGAAAAGTTTTTTAAATCTAAAATCTCATACAGATCAAGAAAATAATCTATCTTAAAAAATAGGCACAAATGTGAAGAGACCCTTCCACACAAAAGACACGTGAATGAATGGTCACTGAGAACCTAGGTTCTCAGTGAAAGGCAGAGTCAGAAACAACAGCACTGAAGGGTAAGGGAACAGAGCAGCAGCCTACAGGGACAGGCGGGCGGGAAAGCAGTCTTACGAGACAGAGAGAGGACACGGGGCTTACAAGGCTGTGCACACCTTTGTCTGACCTCATGAAACTTCTCCTTATTTATCTCCATTCTTCTCCTTCATTTGTATCGTGAAACCACCTTATCATTCACAGTGGTTTCTCAATTAGCCATACTGAAAAGGATGATAAGCAATGAAAACTAACTGGTTTACTGGCCTATCACTAAATAACAAACATTAAATTGTATGCTCAATTTAAAGCTGAATTTTGGGGTGTGGATTTAGCTCAGTGGTTCCACCACCTACCTCACAAGCACAAGGTCCTGAGTTTGATCCCCGCCACCCCTCCCAAAAGCTGAATTTTACTATAAGTAAATCATACCTCAAAAATCAAATGAAGAAAATCTGTACATAATTTTAGGTCACAAAATGAAAGACCCCCTAATATTTTTAAAGAGGACATAAGTGGAAGTGCACCCCTCATTTCCACCAGTTCCTGGCCATCATGAGCCACCAGCCAGGCAGACTGACACACCTGTACAGTCAGCACCTGCACCTGCACCAGAATGGCTCCAATTAAAAAGGCAAGAGCTGCCAGGGCCTTAGCCCAGTGCTCCCACCACCTGCCATGCAAGCACAAGGTCCTGAGTTCGATCCCAGGTACCAAACAAACAAACCTTAAAAAAAAAGGTGCTGAACCAGATGTGGAACAACTAGAACTCTCACACTCTGCTGGTGGAAATGAAAAGAGCTTCAATCATTTTGGAAAAAGTTATTAGTGGTTTCTTTTCGGGATGCTCAAAATCTATGCAAATATTTCAAAATCTAAAACATGGAGGCACTTCTGGTCCCAAGCACTTTAGGTAAGTGATATCAACTTGCTCTTTATGATTCCACTTCTACATAAAATTCTAGAAAATGCAAACTAATCTACAGAGATGGGTGCCTGGGATAGGGAAACAGGGAGGAACGGACTGCAAAGCATCAGGTGGAAACTTCAGGAGAGACACGGGACTCCACCCGGACTGTGTGACAATCTGCACATCTCTAACAGTTCAATGTCTATAAACACTACATGGGTATATTTTATTGCATTTAAGTCACACCTCAAGAAAGAGCTTTTGGTTTCTTTTTCGTTTTCTGAGATAGGGTCTCATTGTGATACCCAGGCTGGCTTTGAACTCAATCCTCCTGCCTCAGCCGCCCAAGTGCTGGATTACAGGGGTAAACCACCATACTACCTTCAATAAACAACGTTTTAAAAAATAAATTCGAAACACACCACTGGGCTAGAAGAGGATGAGGGCTCGGGTGCGGATTTTAACAATTTCAGACATGAAGCAATTTAGTGTTATGTCTTTGTCTTTGAGAAATTACAAAATAGGAAAGGATAGGAGGTTTTAAAAGAACAGGGAGTGTAAGACTTTATCCAATCTACCAATATTTTTACGTGGAATTCCATTTCTTGCTACAACTCGTGAGCTGTGAGGTGGGGAAGCACAGCAGGTAGGTAAACAACAAAAAGTAGCAGGGACACAGTGCGTGCTTCTGGCCACCCACAGGCACAGGCACTGACTTGCTGGCCCTCAGGCTCCCCTGGAACAGCATCTACCTGTCAATCCCTGTTTCTCACAGCAGCTGCCTGAGGAAATCAGTCTTTGAACCACATACACCCAGCAACCTGGGGACAGATTGAAAGTTGCACATCCTCAGTGGCCAGCTTAGCCTCAAATGAAAAGCTGTAGGTGGATGAAACCTGTAGTTTTCAGCATTCTTAGCGTAGCCCCAGAGCTCTTTTGTTTTGTTTCTATTTTTTTGAAACTGTCTTAATAAGAAAGTGTAACCTCACAACACAAAGGATAACACCACTATTTTGTGAAGGCAAGTTAATTTTCTTAGAAGGCGATGTATGTATCTCTAGTTTGTACACATGAGTACATACAATGCACACACCACCATTCACAAGTGTTCAAAAGGTAGGGCATCTGTGCTGTAGATCACAGAATGCTGAAAAAAATCCGAGACCAAGGTACTTGGAGAGATGGGCCATGTTCACTGATAACTCCACATCACAGAGATGTTACAGTGGACCCTTAATTTACAAACTCAATTTGTTCACAAGGGCTGGTTGTCACTCAAGAGGCTCAGGCTCTCTACACAGCCTGCAAAGTCTCTCTCCTGCATAATTTTAGGCCATACTTTCTTCTGAGAAGATCTCGGTGTCCTTAGAGAGACAATGGCCCAGGATTTCTCAATTAACCCCACACAGGAAAGGATGCTGTAAGGTTTCTTCCAGAACTCTTGAAGGGTTAAATCTGTGTCTAAGACCATCTGGAAGCACAGGCAGCTGGCATTCGGGTTGTGACTCAAGACTTTGGTCATAAGTTAAAACTAAACTCCTGGTCATAACCCAAGTTGTTCTGTGCCAGGCCAGTTGTAACTAAGGGTTCACTGTATTTCTCCCCAAACTGATCTACAGATTTAATGTAATTCCTATCAAAATTCCAAGTTGTTTTTGTTTTTTTATAAGTATATGTATATGCAAGCTTATAAAATGTAGATGGAAAGGCTCAGGCCCTAGAAAAAGTATAACAATCCTTGCAGAGAAGAACAGGTCAGGGGTATGGGGATTTAGCTCAGTGGTTCCATCGCCTGCCTTGCAAGCCCAAGGACCCAAGTTTGATCCCCGGTACCAAAAAAAAAAAAAAAAAGAACAAACAACAGCTTAGAAGGACTCACTCTGCCCAGTATTAAGACTTACTATAGGGGAGGGGAGGAGGGGGTGAAGGGAGGGCATGGACAAGGGGAAAAAAATGAGAACCAAGACCTGTCATGTAAAGGTACAAGATCCCAATAATGAATGTAACTGTACTGTACACCTAAAATGTATCAATAAACTCAATGAGAGGAAAAAAAAAAGACTTACTATAGAGCCTCGGTAATGGAGACAGTGTGGTAGTAGTGAGAGACACAGATCGACGGAACAGAGAAGAGAACCCAGAAACAGACACACACAACTGAGTTGCAAAAGCCACACTATGGAGGTGTGGACATCCACAGGCAAGTACAACACTTCAACATAAATCTCACACCTTGTATAAAGTTAACGTGAAGCCAGGCACGGTGGTGCCCATCTGTATCTCCAGCACTCTGAGCTGAGTAGCTGTGAGGACAGGCACATTGGAATTAGTGGTTCCCAGGGGTCAGGCCGAGTGGGTGGGGGTGACAGGGAGAGGGAGAGGTGCGGTTAGAAAAGGACACGATGGTTCTTCATGTGCTGAGAAAACTGTTCCTGAATGTTACTGTGGATACGCAAACTAGTGCATGTACACAAGTATGACAAAACTATATGGAACTAAACACACAAATGAGCACAAGTCAAACAGAAAATCTCAATTAAGATCAGTGGATTACATTCACATCCTGGTTGTGATTTTCATACTGTAGTTTTGCAAGATGCTCACCTTGGGGGACACTGGGTTAAAGGTCCAAGGGATCTCTCTGTATTTGCACAGGGATCCCCAAGAAGGGCAAAACCGCAGAGCAAAGGCAGCAAAGGGAACCCCAACACGGACACCCTCAGGCACCTCGGCTCAAACTCCCGCTATGCTACTGGGGCCCAGAGTGCAGCAGGGAGCCTAAGTGGTGGGCACGTGCCGGCCCCTCACCTGCCAGAGCAGCAAACTTTCCTATGGGGAGAAAGAAGAAATTGCCTCCCCAAGCCCAACGGCAGAGGCAAAGCCAAACCTTTTGAGCTGGAGCGCATTTGGGGCACTGGCACAGGGGATGACAGAATTCAAGATCCACTGCGTTGACAGCATCCTCCACTTCATCCAGGTCCTCCTCTGTCCACTCCAAAAGGTAGCGCACCTAGTGTTGGAGAGCAAGGAGACACAGGAGCTGGAAGTTACCCTCAGCACCTTTATGGGCTACGGTGCCACACACACACCCGGAACTACACCCAGTGCGGGGCCTATTCTTCCTCCCTCGGCCACCAAAGCAATTTATAAATGGCTCCTGCTCCCACCACAGACTCACCTGTGCCCAGACCTTCCTAAATTCCTCTGTAAACAGTAACTGAAAGCCGGGCACTGTGGTGCACATCTGTAGAGGATGGAGAGGGATTTACCTCCCACATTTGTGGCTATCAGTTTCTCCTCTGTCTTACAAAGGGGCATGCGGGTGTTGCCTCAGGAAGGCTTTCCGGCCTGTCCTGGCACTGGCTGAGTGTGTCCCCTCACATTCATTCCCCAGCGGTATGCATCCCACACCAGAGGCAGCTCCAGAGCCTTTCCTCCTTACCTGCCAGACCATACGTACTAAGTGGCCACCAGCCCTTCCCAGAGCACACAACCAGCTGGGCAGTGAGAGCCGCTGCAGGCGCCTGGACTGCACACCAGTGTTCTGACGCCATCGCACTTTAGCCCACAGGGGAGCCCTGAAAACAACCCCAACTGGGGCAAATTTATGTTCCAGTAAAGACTGGTTTCTAGGATGTCGGATATCAGAGGATAAAGCATATAAATGCCTTTTAGGCCTGGTTCCAAGTGCTCTAAACCAGCACATTCCTGCAAGGAAGGACAGTTTCAGGAGCACCCCTACTGACTCCAACCTTCAGCACTCCGAGTCCCTTCCACATCCCTGATAATGAATGCTCCCCAAGGGGACACACACCTATGAAGGCATCTACCGGCCTAGGTGACACAGACCGTGGGCAGTTCCTCTTGGACAGAGGAGGGGAATGGGCAGGTGACCTGTGTATGGGGGTGGACAGCAATCAAAAATAAGGTCAGCCTGAGAACGACTCAGGGCACTGGCAGCTGCCCCCGTCCATCATCTGCCACAGTGCTGAGCACACACCCCTGGACATGGGACAGTCACCAGTACTTCTCCATTTAGGCTGTGTCCAGCTCACACCCCGGCACCCTCCTGTTTCCACAAAGAACGCTGGTGCTCCTGGGGCTGGTCTCAGCCTTAGCCAGGTGCTGACAGTTGTGTCCCCCCAGAGATTGTGTGTCACTTTCATAGATCCACAGGGGCCTCTGGGTGAAGACCAATAACTATGTTCAGATTCTGCATCCTAGAAGCAGTAAGAACAGTGGAAAATGATTTACTCTTAAGAGAGGAAACCATCCCTCTGTATGGAATTGGGCAACAATGAATTAACTGTGTTGTTAGGCAACTATGGGTTAACTGGGTAACTATGCTATTTGAGGAAGGCACTGAGTGACCATGAAAACTTCTGTAATTTGTCACCAAAGGAGCATAACAAGACTCAAAAAGTCCTGTCAGAACTCTGCCCCCAACGCATATACCTGTTGCTCTGCTTTGTGTAAATCCTGCTTGCTATATCCCTAGGGAAATGCCAATGAAATCAAGCCTCGTAAATATAAAAAGAGGCATACAAAGAACAAACTTCTATTCGGGGCTCTCAAGGCTGACAGGAGTCACTCGCTGAACCGCCAGCATTAAAGCCGATTCGCTCCTTCTATATGTGTCAGAGTGGTCTGTCTGGGAATCTCATGCAGTTTCCTGCTACACACAGAGCTTCTAAATGGGTAAGCACCTAATTTTACTACTCCATTAAAAGTGGCAGACTTTGGGCTGGGGATTTAGCTTAATGGTACCACTGCCTGCCTCACCAGTGCAAGGTCCTGAGTTTGATCCCAGGAACCAAAAGAAGAAAGTGGTACACACAGGCTGGCCACTGTGGGGCACACCTGTGATCCTAGATGTTTTTGAGGCTGAAGCAGGAGGACCACAAGTTCCACCCCAGCCTGGGCAACTTAAGTGACTTAGTGAGACCCTGCCTCAAAATAAAACATAAAAGTCTGGGGATGTAGGTTAGTGTAGAGGCCCTCGGCTTGCTCCCCAGTGAAACACACATGTCCTGTTCCTTGCAGGAAGCCAAAGGGAAGCCAGGGGAAACTGCCCTTAGGAATCTCCCAAAAGCTATCTCTGCTTTCCACCAAGTTCATCAAATGGAACCTGTCGCATGGCAGTGATGGTAGGACAGATGCCTTCCTGAAAGTCACAATGTCATCTTCAGCTGCCAGTCCAGAGCAGTCAGACCCCTGCTGTGACTCTCAAGAGCCCCAAGCCTCAGACCTCAACGTCTGCCCCAAGTCAGAACCACCTACAACTGCAGCTCCACTCAGGGCTCAGGGCTTGGCCTTGGTCTCTACCACCTCCTCCTCTCCCTGAGACTCTGCACTCTCTAGGCTGCTGGGCATGGTCTGGTCTTGCCCACATCTCTCCATCCCTAGAGCAGGAATGTTTTCATTCTGTGCCTCCATATTCGTTTGGAAAATACAACACTGCTGCCACCAAATGCCTACTACATGCACCGCCTCATCCAATGCAGAATGAGCAAAGAACCCAGAACCTGAGTCTGCAGACAGGAACACAAGTGTAGCTGTTTCAGATCGAGCGCTAGCTTAAAATACTCATCTAAACGCTCACCATCTCCAGGTCTCCATCGGCAACTGCTCTTAAGAGTTTTTCTACCTTAATAAAAGGAAAACAAGTGTCATCAAAGTGATTTTAATAATACAATAACAAGAAATAATATAAACATTCTGAGAACTTAGTAAGTAGCCTTTGTCTCCTGATGTGTTTTTTTTTTTAATTCATTAAGTTTATTGGCACATTTTAGGTATACAGTACAGTTACATTCATCACTGGGATCTTGTACCTTTACACGATGTATCTTGGCTCTTATTTTTTTCCCCACTCCCTTGCCCTCCCTTCAACCCCACTCCACCCCTCCCTATTTACAAAGACTTTATTTCCATTTTTTTCCTTTTCTCATATTATTTTCCTTTCCTTCCTATCCTTTCTCCTATCCTTCCTACCCTTCCCCATACCCTTTGGACTTTTTCTTCCTGTTCCACATTATCTATTACACATTTTAATTCTCATTTATACTTTGTTTCTTACACCAGAGAAACTATTTGGTATTTACATGTGTGTCCTAATTATTTCTTTTAAGAGTGTAGCCTCAACGTGTATCCATTCAGCTATAAATGTCTCTAGTTTTATCATTCCTTATGGCTGAGTAGTACTCCATTTTATTTAAAAAACACATCATAAACACACACACACGCGTGCGCGCGCACACACACACACACACACACACACACACACCTTCTTTATCCAGTCACCAGTGGGTATTTGCCAAGACTGAACTATTACAAACTGTGTCACTATAAACATGGGTGTGCATGTGTTTAATGGCTTAACACCTTTCAAACACATCCCTAAAACTGCTCCCTAAGAGAATTCTGGGAAAAATCCATTGCCATTGTAAGTACATAAAACATAACTTAGCTGTGCATGGTAACATACACCTGTAGTCCCAGCTCTCAAGTTTGAGGCCAGCCTGGACTTCATAGTGACACCTGTCTCAAAAAAGAAACAAGACTGGGCTGGGGATTTAGCTCAGTGGTTCTGCCACTTGCTTCGCAAGTGCAAGGTCCCAAGTTCAATCCCCAGTACCAGAAAAAAAGAAACAAGACAAAAGAAAACTATCATAGCTCTTAATTGCTAGTGTGTAAAAGGAGAGATGATGATACCTTGGAGTACACTGCTTTCTAAGAAGCCAGGCACCCTAGGATTCAGAACTACAGAAGGGCCAGGGATTTAGCTCAGCAGCACAGCACCTGCCTGGCAAGTGCAAGGTCCTAAATTCGATCCCTGGTACCAAGAGAAAAAAAAAAGAACTACTAGCCAAGGTGACCAGAAGGGTGGATAACTCCTCACCAGAAAGACCTAAGTTCTCTGTTAGCCTGTGGACCAGACCTCCTGGCTTTCTTTGTGGTTGCATTGCATTGTTGGGTCTCCAAGAACAGGTCACAGCTTGGGTCTTAAGGACACTAGATCTGAGTAACTTCTTACCTAAATTCTCTAAGAAGACAGGGATGACCTGTATCAGATTATTAGCAGAGTGCTAATATGAGTTTAGGATGGAGAACAGAGTATGTACTTTGCAAAAGGTCTGAAATCAGTGGACTGGCAGGCAGCTTTGCTTGTATTTTTCTTCAAATACATTTTCTTTGCCTCTGTCTTTTTCTCCTTCTCTCATACACAAAGTTCATCAAGCTGCTGAGGGAGGAGTCTCAAAGGGCCCAGAAGTAAAGAGCAACGTGAAGAACAGTTGGGCCCAATGCAAAGGTGCTGCTGTGGCCTCTGCAAAAGTGGCTCTTCCGGTAATGGGCAAGCAGCCTGAACAGCAACTCATGTCAGGTTATGGCTTTTTGTTTCTGCAGTACTAGGGACTGAACCCAGGGCCTCTGCACCAAGATACAACCTCAGTGCCCCCCACACACAGTTTTTTTGACAGAATCTCACTAAGTCACTAAGTTGCCCAAGATGGACTCAAAACTTGTGATTTAACTTACCAGAATGCCAGGATTACAGGCACCACCACACCCAGCTCAGGCTACGGCACTTTAACTGGCCACCCTAACACCACAGCCACCAAGACCTCTTCACCCTCCTCCCATAGGAAGGCTCACCTCTCTGTAGTCCTTCTTGGGGTCCTCTTGTTTAGAGCTCGCCAACACGGAGGAGAAGCTGGAGGTGGAGGAACCGCGGCTGATAGAATCCTCAGAGTGTTGAGGGGACAGTGCAGGGACCTGCAGGAGGTGCACCCAGGCAAGAGCAGGGACACGGGCACACAAGACATGTGAGGACCATGGAGAGGCCTGGAGCTCCCATCTCACCAGCTAGCGCAGCCCGGCTGACTCACCTCAGAAGGCTTTGGCCTTTGAAAGGACAGACGATGGGCTTCCAGTATGGACAGGATCTAGGAGGACATGCGGACATGAGAAGCAGTGAATGAGATGCACTGTAACTAACAGTCATCACCCGCAGTTCCTCTGCCCGCCTGCCCCATGGAATGTCAGTGTAGCAAGAATCAGGTCCTGCAGCCCAGCCGCCCTTGGACAGACGGCAAACCGAGGCCTGGTGCAGAGGGAACGCATTCAGTATCACACCAGACAGAGTCGGGCTTTCTGCCCTTGTACTGCACTCCTCCAGCAGCGAGGCAGAGCTTCCTAGGCAGGGTCTCAAAGCTGTCTGGCCCCAGCCTGCTCTCCACAGCACTGAGTGGGACTTTCCTACTGGTACTCACAAGGCTCAAGCAGGAACAGCCCACAGTCAGGCCAAGAAGGCAGCCTGCTCTCTCTGCAGCTCTCCCTGCTGTCGGGCCTCTGGTAGTGACCAAGAACAGCAGCTCTCCTGCTGCGACATCTCATTGCTGGCCCAGGAACGCACAAGCTCAGTCCTCTCAACTGCTGCAGCCTGGGACCTTGTGGGTGTTCAGGGCAGCACAGCCAGGACCCCTGGAGCCAGGAGCAGGGATGCAACCCCTTGCAACCCTTCCAAACCAGGGCAGCTGTACACCTAATCATAAGGGTTCTTAGCACACACAAGAAAACAGCAAGGATAAGACGGGCAGGGGCTCGCTGCTGACGGCAAAGTTCACAGCACAGACTGTGGTGACAGCTTCACGGGTGTGTACTTAGCTCCAAATCCATCCAGTTGTCTGTGTCATATGCACAGCTTTGTCTAAGTCAACCTCAATAAAGTGGTTTAAAAATGGATGAAACTGTGCTGCTCTCAGAATAAGATGTGAATAAGACAAAAGAACTCCCTGAATTGGAAATAATCAGAGAGCCAATAAAACATCAAAAGGCAGAAAGTTGGACCTGTGTGAAGGGGACAATCAGAACCTTGTTCTAAAATGGAGACTTACTTGAGCTGAGAATCACTGCTGTTCTGGGCCCACAGAGGGCTCATCTCACAGTGACCCTTGCTTCCCCTGGCAAACCACCAACTTGCTTCTCCTAGAGTACCCCTTCCACCAGAGTGGTGCTGAGTACTGGACATAAGGAATCGGTCCCCATGAGCTGCCTTCTTCCCTAACCACTCATGAACAGTGGGCACTTCCACACAGGGTGCCAAAAATCATACTTTCAGAAATCACTACCGGGAAAAGGTGTGCAAGCTTGTTACACATCAATGATGAAAGAAACTCTACCTAGTGAGGTTCAGCATTGGCCATATGAAAATAAAGCTTGTAGCTGGACATGGTGGCGCACGCCTGTAATCCCAGCACTTGGGAGGTTGAGGCAGAAGAACCACTACAAGTTTGAGACCAGCCTGGGCTACATAGTGAGTTCAAGGCCAGCCTGAACTGCACAGTGAGACCCTGTCTCCAAAGCCAAAAATAAAGAAAGAAAAAAAGCAAGCAAGAAAGCTAGCTTCTAGAAGCTGCAGTGATGGCAAACAGAACTAGGACACATATTGCTTCCATTCCCCCAGCCCCTGTGTCTGCTCCTCTTATCCTGGGCCCCACTGTCACCCAGTCCACCACTAGAAGAAGTCCACAGCGCTCAGAGGCCAAGCCAACTCAGCCAGGAGCAGCTCTTCGCACAACACTGAGAAAAACCACTCGTAACACTGAAAATAATCTAAATAAGTAAAACCTATTAACAATGCTGTTCCAAATGTAGCAGAGAGGGTGCAGGCCAAGTTCCACCACTAATAATAAGTCCAGACACTAATGCACATTCATCCGGCAATGCCAAGCTATGGACACTGATTTTTTACACTCATCTGCTGCGCAGAGACAAAAAGAACTACCTTTGAGTTTAATGCACACTTGAGCGCTGTCTCTTTCAGCCTGTTCTGGATCTCAGTGGGTGCCCCGTTCTGCAGCAGTGTCTCTATGATGCCTTGGTAACCCCAGCGCGCAGCTATGTGAAGGGGTGTATCTCCTTTCTCGTTGCCGATATCTAGTCTGCAGGACTGCACATCATAGTAGACCAAAGCCTTCACACACTGCAAGGAAATGGGAAGGTGGCACTTTGTAGTAACATGCTAAGCCTCAGGCAACATCTGTGGCCCCATGGCCTCAGTCCACATCCTGCTTCAATTGAGGCCCCACGCACCAAGCCGAAGTACAGACGCAGACAGTACAGCTCTGGGATCCGTGTTACCCAAGCAAGACACCATGCTGTTTTCAAAAGAACACAACACAATCAGTAAGAAATAGCTTGCCACCTGCCTCGCAAATGCAAGGTCCAGAGTTCGATCCCTGGTACCTAAAGAAAAGAAATAGCTGACAGAAACTGTGAGGCCCCCAGAGGCCTGAGGCTGCTTACCTTTAAAGGTCTGCAATGTCCCTCAGGCCCTGGATGTAGGGAGTGATCCATAGTCCCTGAGTTGATAAGGCAGTTCACATGGCCTGCTCTGTGTTGTACAACAATGTGATTTATGCTGAACTTATGCTTTCCCCCAAGAGTGTGGAATTCTGGGCCAAAGGACACTCAGATGACCAATGACACCAGTCCCTAACAAGTTTCCCTGGAAGATGACACTTGTTGTGTGCTGTCAGTCACTGCTGCAGGAATAAAACATATCTTGTGTGATTCCAGAGAGAGGACTGTCTGAAGCTCTGCTGACTTCCTCCAGACTTCATTCCTGTGTCTTTTCTCTTTGAGGATCTTGCTATATCCTTTCGCTGTAATAAACACAGCTGTGAGTCATGAAACTATATTGTGTGTGTCCCTACAATCGGTGAACCTATGCAGTCCTCAAGTCCCTTGACAGAGTACACGTGGATCGCTGTGTTACCAAAAGCTATTGAGATCTATGCTGATCGACCCAGGGGATTTTGCTGACATGATGTTAAGGTGGGAAAGCATGTTGCATAAAAATGTACAGGGTGGGCCCGGAATTTCACTCAACAGTTTCACCACCTGCCTTGCAAGTGCAAGGGCCCAAGTTTGATCCCTGGTACCAAAAAAAAATGTACAGGATATGATTTCATTTTTGTACATTAACCCCAAACTCAGACTCAACTTTACACATGCATATGTCTATTTTTGTATAGGGGGGAGTAGATAGCAAAAAATAACACAAGCATAGTAAAATAGAAAGCAGAAATGGAAATTATAAAATTCCTAGATGTTACTTATAAAATGGAAAATTTCAGTATGCACAAAGAGCCAGATGGTCCTGGAAATGAGTGAAAATGATTTAATTTCAGGATAAGATAATGGGCAATTAAATTTTAGTTTCTGTTACTTCAATAAAACATCTGTAATACATTAAATTTTTAAAATTAAAAATATTACTCATCCCATGTTCCAATAATTATCAACACAACACTCAACATTAAACTAGCTAGAAGTTCACATTTGTCTAGGAGTAATGAAGAGTGAAAACAGCCGCTCCCGGAATGGCAGGTGCCACTTACATCTTCGTGCCCATAGGTGCAGGCCAGGTGCAGTGGGGTGTTGCCGTTGTTGTCCTGTGCCTCGGGGCTGGCTTTGTAGTGCAGCAGCAGCAGCTGGCAGAGAGAAGACAGCAGGTGAGCCTAGCAGGGTGGCAGGAAATAGGAAATGTGTCTTTGCAACTGTCTCATGGGCAAGGTCATTGTTCCTATCTTGAATCATACTTATTTATATGGATTGAGCATTCCTAATCCAAACTGTCAAATCCAAGATGCTTCACAATTTAAACTTTCGGGGCGGGGGGCAGTGCTGGGGTGATGGAACTCAGGTCTTGTGCATGCTAGGCGAGTGCTCTACCACTAAGCTACAGCCCCAATTCCCCAAATCTGCAACTTTCTGAGTGCCAGCACACCACCACCAAGTGGAAAACCCCATGCCTGACCACATGTGGTAGATGGAAGTCAAAACACAGATGCACTTCAATACTGTATGTGTACAAGGTATGCACGAAACCTAAATGAAGTCTGGAGTGGCGGTAAACGCCTGTAGTCCCAGTACTCTGAGAGGCCAAGGGAGGAGGATCACAAGTCTGAGCCCAGCTGGATATCCTAGTAACTTAGGGAGATCCTATCTCAAAATTAAAAAATTAAAAAGGGCTGGTGAAACAGCGCGGTGTGAAAGCCTTGGGTTCAATCCCCAGGACTATGAGCAAGCAAGCAAACACAAATGAGGGAGGAGGAGAAGAGGGGAAAGGTAGGTCAAAATAATCAAGATATGTTATATATGTACCAATTCCCCAAAACAAATGTAAAGTATCATGCACTATGAACATATACCAACGTGAATAATTTTTTTTAAAAAAACACAAATGAACTTTGTGTTTGTACTTGGGTTCCATTCCCAAACTATCTCATCATATACGTGCCAATATTCCAAAGCCTAAAATAAACATAAACCCAACACCCTCCCAAGCATTTAGGATCAGGGATACTCGACCTGTGCTACTATTAAAACTATGCCACTGCTTTCAACCTTCCCGTCAGAAAGTTTGGAGATTAAAGGGAAACATCTGAGTCCCACCCTCTCTTTTCTCAGATGATCATAAGTTTCACATCTCAACCTGCGGATCTGTTCAGCGGACCCAGGCAGGCGCCTTGGGCTCCCACTCCCACTGCACCGCCCACATGACCAGAGGAGGCACAGTTCTGGACACTGCAGCCAGCGCAGTGCGAGCTCCCGAGCTCCTGAAGTCCCCGCTCACCGTCACACTCTGGTAGCCCCTCTGACACGCCAGGTGGAGCGGAGTGGAGCCGTGATAGTCCATGGCATTCACCACAGCACCCTTGGAAACCAGGAGGTCGATGAGGGATGCCTGCCCTGCAGAGTGGAGGAGAAAGGAGAGGAACTTCCCACATCTGTGAAGCCACGGTGTCTCTTACCTCCCTCTTACGTCCTGGCAGCAGACATCCCGGGATGTCTGTTTTCTGCTGGGGAGAAGAGCCAGAACAAACGTCAAATCGGGCTCTGCAGACTCAGAAAACACTTAAGGGTCAGACCCAACCCAAGCCCACCTCGGGGCAGTCGAAAGTAATGGAGAAGAGCCTTCCACAGCCATGGAACACGCCATAGTTTATCAGCTTACCGGGTGGAATACTATGCAGCTATTAAAATGCGAACAAGGAGAAATGCTCTGATACATTGCCGAGTGAAAAGCAATGCAGTCGAGCAATATGAGCCTTTCAACATATGTAGATTTCATGCATACATACACAAAAGCATGCAGGAATTCCAGATACTCAGAAATTAAATTTATCTCTAGGAGATTAGAGTATGGCCAGTGACACAGAAGGAGTTTGGATATTCTGCCTTCACTGTACACTGTAAAAACATTTTTAAGCCAGACATGATGGCACGTGCCTATAACCCCGGCACTCACAAGGCTGAGGCAGGAGGAGCACCATGAGTTGGGGCCAGTCTGGGCTACAGAGTGTATTCAAAGCCTGTCTGAAATAGTGAGACCAGTCTTTACCAAAAAAAAAACAAAAACCAACCCACACTTATGAGAGGAGTGGGAGATGGCACCTCATTATATTGCCTAGGTTGGCCTTGAACTCAGGATCTTCCCACCTGAGCCCCGTGAGTAACTGGCATTACAGGTGCATAGCGCCCAAAATTATTTTTTAAAGTCAAACTCAGAAGAACCCTAAACTGATAATTCTGAGACCATTCGGCCCCAGCCCCAGCGCAGTGTCAGGCAGTGTCTACCAGGCAAGAATCACACAGACAAGCTCTTCTGGCCCAAGAGGCAGCACAACGGTCACAAAGGTCACAGGACAGCTATCCAGCCCCGCGGGACACTCACGACTCTCCCCACCAGGCATGCTCTGCACCACCCCATCAGCCAGGCTGCACCAGGACACCTCGCTCGGTAATGCCCCTTTGCCACAGGAGCCAGGCCAGGGCCACGTACCACAGAGAGCAGCCACATGAAGAGGCGTATGCCCCCTGTCATCTCTGGAGAATGGAGTGACAACAGACGGATCATTCAGCCTCCTAGGACAGAGAAGACACAGAAAAGCACATGGCTGAAACAGCATGGTGAAGCCTCTTTCCAGCCAGGTTGACAAGCCGGCGTCTTGAAACTGCAGGATGTGTCTTGGGCACTGGCCAGGGACCATGCAGCTCCTGCTCAGACTCCTGCAGGGAGAGGAACTGAGGCCTGTAGCTCCAGTGTTCCTCCCCCTCCCGCCCTTTAGGTCTTAGCACCTGGCAAAATAACCTGTTGTGTTTTTTGTATGTTTTCCCAGTACCGGGGATCAAACTTAGGACCTTGCGCTTACCAGGCAGGCATGCGCCACTGAGCTACATCCCTGGCCCCCCAATAGCCTGTTGAAAACAAAAATGTTACTTGGAAAAATTGACATTGCCCTATTCTTAAGCCACCTTTAAAGCTGAGGCTGAGGTAGCACCTACACCAGTCCAGTGTTGTGCAGATATTTTTACAACCTCTACCCCACATGGTTCTCCCAAGAAGCAAATGTCACACGTGGCAGCAGAGGCAGCTGAGGTGCAGTGAGAATATGACCCTTCTCATCAGTGCATGGAAAATAAGTGGAAAGTTTCACCCAGGACCCACGTCTCCTACCCCTGGCACACACAGCTCCCTCTTACCCAGAGACCAGTTTCTCACAGTCATCACAGAAGCATAGCGGGTGACACATCTTTTGGACAGCATCATTGTCGTTGTCTTCGTGGCTCAGAAGTCTTTCCACTTCCTTCTGGTTACCTGAGGCAATGTGCTAAAAAGCAAGATCCCAAAGTCTATCAGTGTTAAAGAATCATTTGTTCCTGGAGGTGTGAGTATTTTGAAAGCCTTGATTTGCTCTCTGAGATTTCCTTCAAGATTATCTGGGCGGATGGGGAGACTGGGAAGCGGTGGAGATTAAATAAGACTGGGTGATGGTTACACGGCAGCTTGCTTTTTATACTACTCCCTTTATTTCTATAAATGTCAGAAATTTTCCATCATTAAAAAAAATAGTAAATGAGGACAGGCATGGTGGCACACGCCTGTAATCCCAGCACTTGGGAGGCTGAGGCAGGAGGATCGCTGTGAGTTGGAGATCAGCCTGAGCTACATAGTGAGTTCCAGGTCAGTCTCACTACATAGTGAGACCCTGTCTCAAAAAACAAAACAAAATAATAATAATAATTTTAAAAATCCCAAAGCAACAGGAAGGGGGGCACACAATATATCTCTGAACCTTAGTATGGTTTTTAATTCCTTGATAGAATTTCTCTTATATTCAAATTCAGCCTCAGCTTAGGGGAAAGAGAACAGGTACAATGAGCAAGAGGCCCCACTGATACACAAACCAGGGGCTTAGCCCCTGTGACTGATGGACGAACTCTCTGGGAGCATCAGCAGGCTCCCCAGAAGGCCAGCCTCCCCCAGCCCTCCATGACTCCCTGTGGGTACCGCCCCAGCCTCCCAAGGTCAGTCAGTAAGTATCTGAGCAGGGAGCTGCCTCATGTGCCCACAATCAAACTACCAGGGAATCAGACACTGCACCCGGCCCGGGAACGACCGAATGACCGACCGACCAACCGACCAACTGACCTACCTAACTGCACGCATGCACGCACGCACGCACACCCGCACACAACAGCAGCTCCCACAGCCCAGCAGAGGTAGTGACTCCACAGCAGCTACCAGAGGAGGCACTGCTGAGCTGACCATGACAGAGATGGAAGACTTAGGCATCTGTGCCTACAAGGGCATCCCACTATCTTACCTTAAAGAGGCAGTCAATAGGAGTTGAGGTCATCTGAGACAGTAAGCTCATCCTCTGTTTAAGAAACAGTCTGTCATCAAAACCCTCCGACTCCTGCAAGAAAAAGCAAACAACCAGTCTTATCACACATACCCTGCCACGTGGCGACCCAGCTGTGATCCCTGCCATTCATCACAGAACAGGTCAGGCCCACTTCTCCCACACCTGGGTCTGCTCACCGAGGCAGAGAGCAGGCTCAACTTGAAGTGGAGACTCACTACGGCTGTTGGGACTAGAGGCAGTGGCTATGCGGTGTGGAATGTGCCATCCCTGCATGTGGAATGTCACACACACACACCCCATCATCCTGCAGATGGAAGGCTGGATGGTCCTGGCCCCTTGCCCTCTTCCCCATCCCATCACATTAACCGGCAGTACAGACAGAAAGCAATCAGACAGGTTGGTCTCTACTATTTCCCAGTGGCAGCCAACAGAAGGAGGGGTCCTGCTTTAGGAGCATACTTATAAAAAAAGATGCCACACTCCTGGGGCCAAAGTCCGGGAAGACCCTAGGGAAGAATTCCTGACACAGACAGGTCCTCTCATCTCCGATCACTTTTGAGGTTTCCAGGACCTGCCCCAAGTAACACATCCAGGTCTTCATATTGCAGGTAATGTTTACATGGATACAAAAATCTAGAAATGTGTCTCTCCTTTATGAAATCATTTCTAGCAGGCTAATTCAGTGGTCACTTGAACATCTGCAACTAAACTGTCTCATGACGAACTGACTTCCTGAAAAGGGGTCTTGGTGGGAGGTAAAGGGAAAATCTTTCCTCAGCCAGGTTCTATAGAAATAGCCTTCCAAACCCTCACAAAACAGTGGGGTGAGGTGCTCTCTTTACAGTCCTGTAAGCTCTGAGTTGGCCGAAGATGGAGCCAACAGCACATCAGGGGACAGACTTTCTGGGTTCCTTTGTTAAATAGGATCCTCGAACAGGGTTAACTTAACAGACAAACACCAGCGCCTCTGAATGAGCCACTTCAGCCCCCAGCTGCTAGATGCTATATAAAGCTCACACAATCTGCTTTCCACAGTGACTTATAGCTGAGCAGCTTAGGGCCGGAGAAACATCAAAGGCTTTTTGCTCAGGTCAATCCGGGACTTCTTCCTCAACGCAGGGTAGCTGTCTGAAGGTGGTGATGAAGAAAGTAAGCCCTCCAGGACTGAATCTTCAGAGGGGAGTGAGCAGTCAGAAGGGACAGTACATCAACAGAGACTTATTTGGGAAATGGGTAAATACTATTTATTAGAAACTCAGGACAGTGAAAAGACCGGAAGTATGCAAACCTGGAGCAGGAGCTGGGGGCGACAGTGCAAACTTGAAACCTCAGAACGTGGGAGTCTGAGACAGGAGGATCATGAGGTTGAGGCCAGCCTGGACTACATAGTTTAAGACAAGAGCTGGGGATTTAGCTCAGTGGCACTGCACCTGCCTCGCAAGCGCAAGGTCTTGAGTTCAATCCCTGGTACCAAAAAAAAGAATAAAAAGAAAACTAAAGTCTTCATTTATGAACATACTTAAAGAATATGTGTGGTCAGGCTGGGAATAGTAGTATGTGCCATAATCACAGCCCTCAGGAAGCTGAGACAGGAAGATTGTGAATTCAAGGCCAGCCTGGGCTATATAGAAACATAGCAAGCAAGATCTTCTCTCAAAAAAAAAAGACTGCTTCTGTCATCTCAAGTATGGTCATACTTTTGAGAGAGAATTTCTGAGGAACCCTATTACATGAAGAGCTGAAAGTAAAATCTTATTTAATTTACTAATATTTCATCCTTACTACTTTTCAGAAGCCTTATGGCACTGACTTCACACATTCCCTGAATAGCACTTCATTACCTAAAAGAAGCCAGTCGGCAGCAACGGCAGAGACAACTGGTACAGACAGGATCCCAACGATGGTGTCACTAAAGACAAGGAGGTCACAGTACCTGCTCTGTCAACAGCAGGCCAGGCTCAGGATGGGTGGAGAGCAGCTCTCAGGGATGACTCTCTCAACACCCAGGGGACAGGCCCCAGACAGGCCAGGAGGATGATGCACTCATGGCCCCAACATCCACCAGAATCAACACCCGGCATCCAGGAAGGAGGATCGGGGCAGACACCCCAGATAAGACAGGTGCTCCGAGCTGTGACCCTCCCTTGCCCATCTTTGGGGATAACCTTTCAAAATACACAGGGGAACCCAGAAGCAGGGGTATCAGGGGAGCCAGCAAGGGCACCAGAATACCTTGATGCTTCAAAAGTTACCCTTTGCTAGCATGTCTGATTCTTCCAACGATCTATCAATGGGTAAAACATGCAGCACTGTCCGCAGTGTAAATGGGAAAATGGACAGTCTTAAGAGTGACAAGCTTACTTGCCAAAGGTCAAATAAAAGGGCAGGATTCAAACTACCACCAACATAAGATGGACCACTTGCTACATTTTCTGGAATAAAAGCAGGTAAGAGAAGCTCCCTGGTTTTCTCAAGTCAGCTACCTCCTTCTGACCTGGCCATGGCCTTCAGGTATGGACTTTCCTAAGTGCCACAGACAGGAAGAGGCAGGATGGCCACATTGTGGGGCAGCACAGGGACAGGACACCTCCCTCCAGAAGAAAAGGGATGGTCCAAGCCCCATCACAGAGCATCGGACTGATTCCCCTGCATGATGGAAGAGCCAGGAGAGAAAGAAGAAAGAACCACAAGGCAAAGTGATCATGGGAAACCACTCCAGCACAATGAGAACAGCACATGCTCCTGGACCCTCACGGAACCAATGCAGGAAGAAGCCGTACAACTATGGGAATGAACAGCAATTCTGATTCTGCACATATGCATTCTACAATGTTAGTGATTTCCCCCTAAACACGGAGCCGCAGCCAGCCACACCTGAGATGAGAGGGACGGTCCCTCATCTCACCAGCACCGAGTGGGGGATCCTATCACACCCCAGACAAGGGCAGACACTAACTCTTCATTGCTAACCATAACACCATCAGATTACACACAAATAAGTGAGCAAAATACAATTATATCTGCACAGAGAAAAGGCGTAAAATGTGAATAAGTCACCCCTGGCTGCTAAGTTTATGAAATTTTTTTATGTCTTCACTGTACTGTTATGTATTGCAAATATTATCTATAAGCAAATATCAGACTTCTGATCAGATCAGAAAAAAATAAAGTTCTTCTCTGAGGGGGAAAACAGTACACAATTAGGTAACATGCATGGATAGGGAAAAGTCTGGAAAATGCTCCAACATGATAGTGAGGAGTGGATTCAGTGGAACTGCTATACCCTGAGGGCACCTGACTGGTCAGGCGAATGGGCTTCCCAGGTGTTTTAACTTGACATTAACATCCGTGGAGAATCTGTGTCACATGACATTCAATTCTCACCATTCTTGGTTTTTAATGCAGAAATCTCTTCTCTTTATTGACCTCACCTTGGAGGGCTCTCTCAGGACTGTTAATTTTCAGTGGTAGGCATGTAGCAGAATACACCAGTGTTGGGGTTTCTATCTAGATGCCCCCCAAGGGCCTCATGTACACACAGGCTGGGCTTCCAGAAGGTGATCAGATTAGGGGGGCATTAGCTGATTGCTGTCTGGCAGCTGGCTGGAAAGGGCCGGTCACTGGGGCGTGAATCTCTTTCCCTAGTTCCGCGCTTCTTTCTCTGTCCTGGATGCCAAGAGGTGAGCAGCTCTGCTCAGCCCAGACCCTTCCACCGTGCCTTCCGGCCTCAGAGCCAGCCAACCACAGACTAGCAATGTGAGCCAAAATCAGCCTCTCCTTTGTCAGCACCTGCAGGTATCAGGTACTTCGTCCCCGTGATGGGGAGAGTGACTAAGCCAGCAGTGCAAATGTGGCCCAAGAAATACAAGCATCTCCTTTAGCCGAAGTTCACCGATCAGCCAAGGAAACAATGATAAGGCCACTTGTCATTAAGACTGCAGGCCCTAAAACTGCACACAGTAATAATCATTTCTTGCCTCTCATTGTCAAGAATCCCAAATTCACCGTTTCTGGCTTCCTTTTCCATGCATGTGCTTCTGAAGATGACAGGGGTTAATGAAGCAGGACATTCACAGCGTGAATCGCAATGATAACCCCTCAACTTTCACAAGCAATGAAGGTCTTAATGTTTAGTTTCCTGGGTGGCCATTAAGCATCACAACCCTCAAACGTGAGACCCTATTCTTTGGATACACTGTAAGAATTCCCCCTCCACGACCAACCCAGAGCAATGTCAGAGGAGCCACAGTGCGCACGAAGAGCAGGGAAGGAGTGTGATCTTACGGGTGGTTTAATGGAAAGGCTTCCTTGCCGAATATATTCGATCGCAGCCTCAATTGAGGTCAGGCAGTATCCCAGTTCATCTTTTGTTGAGCTGCTAAATCTGAAGTTTTTGATGTAACTCAAATTTGCCATCCTACCACAAAGAAGAGAAGAGTTTTATCGCTGAATTATTAGTTAACATTTCTGCAAAAGGTGATGCTATTGGTGTGGGTGACTGATCAAATACCTACAGTAAGTCAGGTAAGGGACTGCAACCACCTCCCTCCCCAATCTCTCTGCACAGTGTGTGCAAGTAGGACAAGTAAAACTCCCTGTTGCTCCCTGAATAGGCTAGCTTTTAGAAAGCTGATTATCGAAAAGTGAACTACGGGTTCCTTTGGGAAGAAAGAACTGAAGTCAGCTTCCTGTTCAGCCACAGCCTCACCGCATGGTCCAGAACAAGAAACATAAACTCCCTGAGCCTTGGTCTCCCCCACATCTGTAAATGGGAGGAGCCCCTGGAGGAAAGAGGAGAGGATAAGCTCCTGCTCAGCAGCTGAACAGTTAGAAGTGGCTATTCCTGGGTTGCACTGAATCTGTATAGTACATGGTGCTGCCACTTTTAAAAAGATTTGAACAAAAAATATTACCAATTAGGGATCTCCGTTTTCACCAGCAAATATAACAGGACTGAGAGAAGATCATCCGTACACATGGTCTCCAAGTTCACTGCAAGAGGAAAACGCACGTGCAAAGCCATCATGAGGCTCTAAGGGAAGGATATGTGTACAAATTCCCTTTTGCCATCCAACCCACAAAACCACGATCCAGCAAGATTGCAGGTCACTGAGAAACAAAATTGCATAAGTGCCCTTACAATCTCCTGAACAGATGTCAGACTCAAGGGGATAAAAGAATGCACAGCTCTTCAGAACATGTGCAAAAGGCAGTAGCTCCATGTGGACCAGGTCGTACCACCCTCTCAATGGTTAAGGATCCCAGGGAGGCAGTGACAGTAGACACAAGAGACATGCCCCAAGCCTCTCTTCCTGAGGTCACTTTTGGTTTTTGCTCACGTAGTCTTATGTCCCTGTGTACTTTCACTTTTTTTTATTTTGTACTTTTAAGTATCCCATGCATGATTTAAAATTCCAACAGTACAGGAGTCAGGGGGTGACTCAGGGGTAGAACACTTGCCTAGCATGGACGAGGCCCTGCATGTGACTCCCGGCACCACAATAAACATGCAAACAGAAATTCAAATAGTACTAGAGAGCAAGGGGGGAACACCCCTCCTATCCTTGCCACCCAGCCTTCTTCCCCCATCTCTGCTGCCACTGCCCGAGTATCTCTGCAGAGCAGAGCCAGCCTGTGACCTTGCCTTCGTAGGTACAGACTCAGCCGCCCACAATTTCCTGGATGCTGCAGCGGGTGCACCATATCCACTCCATGTGCTCCACCCAGTGTGCTGAGAGGCCTTTTTATATTTGGAAATTTCAAACATATAACAATATAAAAGAAGGAACAGCCTAACAAGCAGTGAATGCTCCCTGCACCTTTCAGCAGCTTGGCTCATTTTTGAGGCCACCACTACCGTCACTGGTTTCTCATCGTGCCTGACTCGGCTCTCCCCAAAGTGCTCTCACAGGAACACAATGCTGAACCTCAGCCCCATCGGAAGGACCCTCAAAACAGGGCCACTTCTGAGCAGGCACCCTCGTCCGGATGTGTGCGTCTAGCCCTTGCCAGGCCCTTCCCCAGGCACCAACCTCTCTGGCTGGGAGACTGTGTAATGAGCTGTACCACTTTTCGCAAGCAGAGGAGCTTCTGCTGGGGCGAGGTGCATTTGTTCAGCTGAGCCAGCTCTCTCTTTGCACGAGGGATGTTGAAGCTGTAAAATAATTGGGAAATGTGACGACTTCACATCAAGATGGAGGCACCCTTCTTCCTCATTCTAATAATATACCTCAGGTTATACTTTTCTTACATCAAACAGCAAGCAATAAAAACAGAAACAGACAAGAAAATTGACTCAAGCCAGCGGCAAAACAGAATGGATTTACATCCCATTCAGGCTGCCAGGTGATAGAGCTGCATTAGAAACTGGGAACTAAATAAAAATCCTGAGCCCCAGAGAAAAGAGGAAAATAGCCCTAGGGTTGGAGGCTTAACATCAACACTGCAGATTTCTGCAGCCCGAGGTGCTTCTAAGGCAGGGTTCTCTCAGACAGGCAGGTGAAGAGAGGCTTCGACTCTGCAGGCCCCACCTGGAGACCAGGGGTACAAAACCCTGTCCCCAACCAGCTCCCAACCATCTGGCTGCCCTGCTGGCTGCAGAAGGGGACAGCTACAAGGCAGTCTAGTCAACTTCAGCTCTTTATCTCTGGTCAAAAGTAATTGCAAAGCTCCTCAGTAGTAACTGCATCAAGTCGGTGGCCACTGATGCACTGAGAGAGGCCAGCTCTGAGGAGAAGATGGCACCTCTGAGGCAATGTCTCTGAGAACACTGAGCTGCTGCAGCCGCGATAACTCTTACCTGAACTCAGGTTTCACCCCAATATCTTTCTGCTGGAGATCTTGAAGGCTTCTTGTGATTTTGTTAAAGGCAGCATCCTAACAACAGATTTTAATGAGGCGTCAAATTTCTTAAAAAGCACAGAATAAGGTTTCCATCCTGGATGATGGTGGTGGCTGTGAACCTACCTCACTTGCCTCCATGGTCCCCACATACTTAAAGATGAGATCATAAATATGGTGATGGACATACATCTGTGAAGTAAAGGAATCTCTCTTCAGGCCATGTGCCCAGCAATGAGGAGAACCATGGGCTGCGGTCACCCTCTCTGTCCTTACCTCCACTGCCTGCTTCATCAGGGTCATCTGGGCCTCCTGCTTAGCAAGCACTTTCTAGAGGATAAGAGGGAGATGGTTAAAGGAGCCTGGACTCACAGGCCGACAAACTGCAATTCTTTCTTTTGGACGTCCTGCTGCTTACCAGGTGAGAATCCCTCAGAAGCTGCTGGAGGCATCTGGTGTACAGGGCATTCACCGAGTCCTGTGCGGCACAGAGGAGACCAAGGTCACTCTCACAATCCGAGGCCAGAAACACAAAAACCTGAATGCGCAACCCATCCAGAGCAAGAAAAACACACCACCAAATGTGTTTCCTGGACGACAAGCTTTAGGAGGTAATGTAACCTTTATCAAATCATTTTCATGTTTGATTCAACTTTTTTTTAAGGTGATTATCATTAAAAGTGGGGGATTTAGCTCAGTGGTTCTACCACCTGCCTCGCAAATACAAGGGCCAGAGTTGGATCCCTGGTACCAAAAAACAAAAAAAAAAGTAGGAAAAAATTCCCCTTGGGATTAACATAAGTAACAAGGGTGCTTATTTTTTAGATGTCTCCAGGATATTCAAGTTTTCTATAATGGCTTACGTTACTTTTATACTTAGAGAGAAACACTTAAACAAAACTTCCTAAGGTGGACACAGCAGCTAGGAAAGTCGGAGAACACACGGGGTGCTGAAGGCTCTGAACCGGCACACCAGGCACAGCAAGACACAGTACTGACTATGTGGTGACGGAGGCTCTTCCTTTCACATTCTCGGAACATTCGGTGGAAAGCGGCGATGTTCCTGTCAAATTTCTCAGAGTGTCTTCCCAAAAATTCTCTCACATCTTCTATGGTTTTCAGTGTAAAAGGATCTGAGGGGGCTGAAGGCTCTTCTAAAAAAAGAGACAGAGGGTCTTGGCTGAAGCCTTCGCGTTCTCCTGAGAGGGGAAATGCTGCACCCTTTGCCCTGCTCCCACAGGATCTAGGGCCCCATCTTGTGAGGGAGGATGGTAAGGCGTGTCTAAGGGAGGCAAGGTCTTTTATTTCAAGACACTTCCCAAGAACACCTCAGTTATAGCACAGTCTGGGATCCAAAGAGCATGCTCTGCTCAAGGCCTTTCCTTGGGACAAAATCCGTAATATCTGGAGTTCCGCAAGTCATGGGGCACAGGTGAAAAACCTCTGTTTCCTGACAGTAAGAGCTTCAGAGTTCATTTGGCATGTTGTTTTTTCAATTTCCAGGGGCAACAAAGGAATTATTCTTTACAAATAGTGAGATTTCAAAGAGACACAATGGTCAGGCTGGGTCAGGAATAAAGTTGATCCCCACAGATAAAGCCAGGGCTGCTCCTCTGCACACCTTAGGAGTGACGTTCACATCACATGTTTGTCACAGGTACAGCAGGGTCTGTGTGAACGGTGACTCCTGAAGTTACATAACACCCAACCTGCACGACCACACACAGCAGCACCAATCCATGCCTCCAAGAGCTGGAGATAAGTACAATTAAGACCTGGGGAATTCTAACAAATAGTTACACAGGTTTCTAGTGGGCTCTTAACTCTTCTCCATGACCTTTAACTTTTTAACAGAAGGAAGAAGCTACACCAAGGAGAAGTTCAACATACACACATTTCTCCAAATCAGGAGAAAAGGGTTTTCTCCCAAAATACCTGAACTCTCTCTCTTTTCCAAAGGATGAGCTATACACAGGATGCTGAAGCTTTCTTCTTTTTCATTGTAGAAAGTTTCTTCAAAGAGGATGGGCACTGAGAGAAGACAGGCAAAACCAGCTCCTAATTTAACCCTGTTTCCTTGTATAGACACATCCTGGAATGAGAAAGTCGTCACTGTTCCAGCTACTGGTGGCAGCCACCCTCCCCCAAGGACAGTACTTAACCAGACCCTGCTGCTTCACCCAGCGTGGTTTTGCAAGGGCTTTTAAACTAACAGGTGAGCGCAGCTACGGTGAGCAGCTCCCCTGCAGGAAAACAGTTATCATGCCTTGTGAGCCACGGGGCTGCTGACCCCAGAGCAGGCTCCCTGGTAACTCCATCGTTGCTCTCCCCGCCACAGGGCCCACAAGCCTGGGCAGCCAAGTGCAAGGCTACACTGCAGCCCAGCCCCAGAGAGAAGGGCAGTGTGGCTTGGCTTCCCTGACCATGTTAGGTTGGGCAACGAAGCCAACCCTGACTGGGAGTGGAACTTCCCCCTCTCAGAACCTACCTACTTCCATTAAAGAAAGTTTTTAAAAAAACCAAAACATATGCTCCAAATTACCATTAACAGCGAGACAAACAGGTATCATGTGCCTCCTGACAGGATACACTCAGAAAGATAAAACACCCTTGCCACGCCATTCCTACCAAGAACGCCTGACCGTAATCCTATCATGTGGAAACATCAGACAAACCCACACTGAGGGAGAGTTCGCAAAACACAACAAAAATGTCAGTGTCATGAGTGACAAAGACATGCTGAGGAATTGTTTCAAATGAAAGTAAAAAAGACGTTAACAGCCAAATGCATTATTTGATCCTGGGTCTTAAAAGAAGAAATTTCTCTCTTTTCATATAAAGGATATTGTAATTAGCACAGTGAGGACACTGAGTTGGAGGACATTCACTCAACGTGCAGGCCTCCAAGTATATTGCTACACGGCCGTCAGGCAAGAGAACAGCTGGTTGTTCTTTGGGTGGGCACATGTCTGCAGTTGACTCTCACAAGATTCAGAAAAATTAACCATAGGTGTAGAGAGTCAGAGACATAAGTCAAGTGTGGCAAAATGCAAACAGTCGGCCTGGAGAAAGGGTACATTAGAGTTATCTGCACTTTATGCAACCTTGTGTTGATTCAAAATTATTTCAAAACAAAATGGTTTGAAAAGAAAATTCATCCCTGATGTCCAATTTTTGGTTGAGAAACCAAGGGGGTTTAAGGGGCTGAGAAGAGCAAGCACACTCAAGACACACACCTCAATGAGGAGGGTGCTGAGGACAGAGCCCAGCCCTCCCCGCCCTCCAAGGTGACCCGGGCCCAGGCATCATTCCCCTCCTTCCTCCAGCCCTCCCTGGGCTGCTGAGCGTGTGTCAACACTGTCATTTAACTCAGCAGAGGTGAAAGGCCAAGAAACAAAGCTCTCTCTCCCCTCACTCCACCTCCCAACACTGACCTAGCCATCCAAGAAATTACCTTTCCATTTAAGGTCTGAAAATGTCCTTCCACAGGTATCAAAATGTAGGACTCGAACTGACAGGTGGACTGAACACTGCTGGACAGGCTTCCTCTGCAGGGCACTAAGACCTGGAAAAAACAATGAGGGGGAGCTCTGGAGAGAGGTGGCACGTATGGCTTCAGCAACAAGGATGTCTCCAAGCCACTTGGCTGGACCCACGGCAGAACCTGCAGGCTCTGTAATTGCTGGCCCAAATGGCCACTGTAGCTTTAGCTGGGATCCTCTGTTGTGGTAATGACAGAAGCAGACACCCTCTCCCAGGAGAGGGAGGACACAGAGGCACAGGTCAGCCTCCATCTTCAGATTCAGAGACAGTAGGCTCCTTCTAACCCTCGCTGCATCCCTCCCACAACTGACCCCAGGGACCCTCCGCTTCCACCAGTCCAGCTCCCAGATGCAGCAGGCTTGGGCAGAGACAGGGAGTGGAGAGGACAGAAAGGAAACTGAGAAGACTCACACTGATCCCACCACCTGAAAGATAAATGCCTCAGGCTGAAGACGGCTGCCAAAACAGCTTGTAGGGATGCATCAAGGGCCAGAGAGTTTCTTATCACAGGCTGCCTCCAGAACCAGGTGTCTCGGGGTGCCAGCCTCTCCCTCTGGAGCAGGATCAATTGGAAACAGCAAAAGAGACCATGGCCACCACAATGACAAGGAGTCACCTCAGCAGCATGGTGCAGCAATGGGCCGGGGCTCTCTTCCCTGGCCAGACTTGAACTCAGCTCGGGAACTTATGTTTGAACAGAAATCTCTGACTCAAGCGTTCTGAAAAGGAAGATGGCCAAGGCAGAGAAGCCCCACAGCGCCTGACTCCCACAGTAGCCCAGCACAGAGACCAACAGGCAGACAGCCTGGGCGCCACTCCTGGTTCTATGCCTCCCAGCCAGGGCCGCCAGCACATGACCAGTCCTCGTTTCTCAGTCTCCGTGTGGAGAGCAGAACTGGTTGGAGTGTGCTAGGAGTGCGAAGCAGGGCCGCGGGGTGCCTCCACCAAAGCAATTATCAAACTTGGTAAAAAAACTCAAAACCAATCATCTTGGAACTCTAGGTCCCGACTTTACACTTAGAGCAGGCCAATGAGCGCCAGGTGAAGCAAGGTTGCTGATAACCGCCTGCGCCTCCGCCCCTGCGCTGGCCTTGGGGACAGCAGCCACATTCCAGGAGGGGCAGGCTAGATCCAGAGCGGCCAGTTAAGGACCTTGCCCTTCAAAACATTCCTAAAGGTGGAAATGATACAGCACATACAACATCCACAGACCTACACCTGCGCTTTAACGACTGTAAATGGTTCGCCACAGTCTTACACTCTTTAAAGGTAAGAAGAGAGGTTTGCTTAGCCACGTCATCTAAACAGGCTTGGGAAATTCTGGGCCAAAGCTCCTATTTCTTTTTTTCTTTTCTTTTCTTTTTAATTGAGTTTATTGCTACATTTTAGGTATACAGTACAGTTACATTGATCATTGGGATCTTGTACCTTTACACAACAGGTCTTGGTTCTCATTTTTCTCCCTTACCTCTGCCCTCCCTTCACCCCTCCTCCCTTCCCTATTTACAAAGACTTTGTTTCCACTGTTTTCTTTTTCTCATTTTTTCTTTTTCTCATATTTTTTCTGTTCCCTTATTTCCTTTCCCCTACCCCTCCCCACTTCCCCTACACCTTTGGCCCTTTTCTTCCCATTTCATATGATCAGCTATACAATCTGGATCTTATCTACACTTTTAGTTTTTCACATCAGAGAAACTATTCGGTATTTACACGTGTGTCATATCAAGGCTCCCATTTCTGGAGTGTCACTACATGCTGGGCACCATACTGAGTAGTCTAACACGATGACCTCAATAACTACCTGAGTAGTTTCTGTGTCATCCTCATTTTACAGACAAGAAAACTGAGGCTCAAGAGTTAAGGCCTGTCCAGGGTCACACAGCCAAGAAGCTGCACAGCATGATTCAAATTCCATCTGCCTCCTTGACCACTGCCCTATCTGCTGCCCCGGCAGGTGACTGGAAGCAAAACTCATCAGGGCCTTCAGGAATGGTGTCCTCAGGTAGTGACACTTTTTTTTTTTTTTTTTTTTTTTT